TTGACTAGAATTTCGTGTAGATCATCTTGGTGCATCTTAACTTGCTGTTTAACAACTCGAACATAAGGTTTATTCAGATCTGGACCAATTCCTAAATTTGCATATGAGGACTTGCCGGATTTGTTATATGTTGTTTCTAGCCTCATTTAAACTTGCTTTGATGTGTTGCTCTTGTATGCATCATCTCTTGCCATGAGTAGCCTCATATAGCCTTTGTCATGCATAATGTTTGGTTGTGTGTCATGCCATGTCTATGTGTTGTGTGTTTACCTTGTTGTTTGCTTCTTTCCGGTTGTGCTCCTTCTCGTTAGTTCCTGTTTTGTTGCGATCGTGAGGATTCGTTCGTCTACGCTTGGTTCGTCTTCGTGGCTTCATCTTCTTCATGGACTCGTTCTTCTTCCTAGCGGGATTTCAGGCAAGATGACCGTCACCTTGGATCTCACCACTATCATTGCTATGCTAGTTGCTTCGTTCTATCGCTATGCTGCGCTACCTATCATTTGCTCTTCAAGCCTCCCAAATTGCCATGTCAGCCTCTAACATTTTCACCCTTCCTAGCAAACCGTTGCTTGTCTATGTTACCGCTTTGCTCAGCCCCTCTTATAGCATTGTTAGTTGCAGGTGAAGTTGAAGATTGCTCCATGATGGACATGATTATGTTGGGATATCACAATATCTCTTATTTAATTAATGCATCTATATACTTGGTAAACGATGGAAGACTCGGCCTTATGCCTGGTGTTTTGTTCCACTCTTGCCGCCCTAGTTTCCGTCATACAGGTGTTATGTTCCTTGATTTTGCATTCCTTACGCGGTTGGGTGATTTATGGGACCCCCTTGACAGTTCGCTTTGAATAAAACTCCTCCAGCAAGGCCCAACCTTGGTTTTACGATTTGCCTACCTAAGCCTTTTTCCCTTGGGTTTCCAGAGCCCGAGGGTCATCTTTATTTAACCCCCCCCCCCGGGGGCCAGTGCTCCTTCGAGTGTTGGTCCGAACTAGAGCCACTTGCAGCGCCACCTCGGGGAAACTTGAGGGCTGGTTTTAGTTGTACATAGTGTTCATCCGGTGTGCCCTGAGAACGAGATATGTTCAGCTCCTATCGGGATTTGTCGGCACATCGGGCGGCTTTGCTGGTCTTGTTTTACTATTGTCGAAATGTCTTGTAAACCGGGATTCCGAGACTGATCTGGTCTTCCTGGGAGAAGGAATATCCTTCGTTGACCGCGAGAGCTTGTGATGGGCTAAGTTGGGACACCCCTGCAGGGTATAAACTTTTGAGAGCCATGCCCGCGGTTATGTGGCAGATGGGAATTTGTTAATATCCGGTTGTAGATAACTTGACGCCAGATACGAATTAAAACGCATCAACCGCGTGTGTAGTCGTGATGGTCTCTTTTCAACGGAGTCCGGCAAGTGAACACGGTTTTGGGTTATGTTTGGCGTAAGTAGGAGTTCAGGATCACTTCTTGATCATTGCTAGCTTCACGACCATTTCGTTTGCCTCTCTTCTCGCTCTTATTTGCGTATGTTAGCCACCATATTTGCTTAGTCGCTGCTGCAACCTCACCACTTATCCTTTCCATTCCCATTAAGCTTTGCTAGTCTTGATACCCATGGTAATGGGATTGCTGAGTCCTCGTGGCTCACGGATTACTACAACAACAGTTGTAGGTGCAGGTTATGCGATGATCATGACGCAAGAGCAATGTTTAGTTGTTTGGAGTTCTTCTTCTGCTTCTTTGATCAGGGGATAGGTTCCAGGTCGGCAGCCTGGGCTAGCAGGGTGGATGTCATTTGAGTTTCTGTTTGTGTTTCATCCGTAGTCGGATGTTGATCTTACGTATGATGTATTGATGTATTCTTGCGGCATTTGTATGCCTTGTATGTATCCCCATCTTTTATGTAATGTTGATGTAATGATATCCACCTTGCAAAAGCGTCTCAATCTGCGGTTCTATCCTTGGTGGGACCTTCGAGTTTCTTTAGGATAGTATCGCATATTGGGCGTGACAGAAGGGGGAATGAGCGAGACAGATGCTAGGGTTTTGGTGGATGCCTTTGTAGGCCGAGGGGGGCACGTGGAGGCCATCCACGTCCATGGTGCCATGGATGCACGCCACGCCCAGGCCTCTGCCTCCCCACAGTACAGAGGTGGGGGAGAGGCTGTCGTGGGCTGGGCTTTGGGGCACTGTGGACACTTGAGCCCATATGCACAATAGTTCATGTCCTTTTCCTTTTATTCTTTTACATTTTTGTTTTATTTATTTCTTTTCTACTTTGCATTTTATTTTAAAACCAATTGACTTTTGTTGAATTTGAAAATTGGCACATAAATATGAGACAACATTTTGAGCCATCACAAATAGTTTCAATTTATCTTGAAATGTTTAACTATTTGTTTAAATCAAAAAAGCTCAATTTAATAGTGTTAGTTCTGTTTTAAATGAAGATAAGGGAGTTTTAATAAGAAGAAGAAATATTGGTTTCTTCATGAAAATTAGTTAGTGAATAATTGCAACCCAACGAACATTTTAAATTTACTTTTTGAAGAATTACAAATTTGACTTGTATTTAAATTTGAATTTGACTTAGGTTTTAACAAGGAGAGATTAAGCTTAGCAAAATGGGATGGTGTGGCATCATTAGTCAGGTATTCATTGTAGCATAATTATCGGGGTGTTACACCTGCATTCAGCGGGCCATAATTGGGCCGGCCCGCAACAAGCTGTACTAGGGCCTGCTGCGGAGCTGCTGTATGGGCCCTTCATAGACACTGTATGACTAGGCTCATAACTCTAATGGGCCTTTAGCATGCCCAAATTTAGTTCAGCCGATGTAGCTTTGGATCATTAACAAGCTGAATATTCTGCTGGCATGTGTTGGCCCAAAAGACACCATGGGCCTTTAGCAGGCCGAGAAGCATGTTGGGCCTCAATTTTTAAGAGTAGTCCATGGGCCTTTAGTAGGCTGAAATAAACATCGAGCCAATATAGGCCTAGTTACATTACGGGTCATTATCAGGCCGAAACATACCTCGGGCCTTGGTTTTCCCAATCATCTCATAGGCCTTTAGTAGGCCAAAAGCTCTGTAGAGGCACCAACGGGCCGAAATGTAAGACACGCCTTTAATAGTCCCAAAGTCAGGTTGGGCTGAAGTGTTGCCACCGAGATCACGGGTCATTAACCGGCCAAATGTCACGTCAGACCATAAATGGTCCATGTGCAACACAGGCCATTACCAGGCCAAAAGACACACCATGCTGAAATGGGCCATTTCTACATCGGGACTCTAACAGGCCGAAAACACATTGGGCCATAATGGGGTCCAAAGACTAAGCGAACAATTAATGGGCCGGATTTGGTGGTGGGCCATAAATGGGTCAACCCACTAGTACCTGAGCGAAGCTTATGGGCCTTTGACTGGGCCAGCCTTTTTAACCTAAATGGGCCAATGTTGGGTCGTGCCACATATCATTTTTTCATAGGCCCATCTCGTCCAAGGATGAATGACATCCATCGTGACGTCGAACTTATACGTGGTTCCTTTGGCCAATGAGAATTTTACACGTGAAAAATTGCCCTTGGCCTGGGCTGTTAGCGGGTTATCGGATCCAAAACCAGACCCGAGAGTTTAACGGTGACCCATTACAGTGGATGCCACGTGTCGGTTACCCTTGGCAAAAGCACTTTGATGACGCACCATTTATCATCATGGAAGTGGACACTTCCGTGATGATAATTTGAGTATTGTCATGGAACACTTCTACGACAACACATGTATAACTATCTTGATTCCGTCATAAAATCGTCACGAATGTACATGCATGACAGAAAACATGACCTACTATGACAAACACGTATCATCACAGAAGTGTTTTTTTGTAGTGGTGTGTGCTGGCACTGCTCCTCAACAGAAAGCAAGAGAAGGTATTGTTTTCAAGATGGCCTAAGGTATGAGCGCAGTCAGTCGTACCAACCTTGACTTCAGTGACAGGTTTGAAAAATAAGAGCTTGTGGCGACCAGTGGCACAAGCAGTGATACGCCTGCACGCGGCCGTACCAAAGGTCATCGATCGATATTTTTTCTTGATTCTTTCCGGATTTTGTTTTGATTTTCTTCTAACTTCGTCTCTAAGATTGATCCTCTAACCATTATTTAAGGCCAAGGGTTACGTCCCTTCACTCAATATCAATCTAATCTCGAGTCCTTTTTGCATGACACCTCTTCACCAAACCTTGTTCTACAAGATAAACAAACCGGTCACCGCCATGAGAAATGGATCTTCCCCAACTTCCATCAAGATCATCTCCTTCCCAAGCTTGGAGGAGGTCGTCCTGATGGGATGGGAGGATCCTAGAAAAATGAGCCTAAAGGAGGAGATGCCGGAGGAGGTGGAGACTAGCAAGGGGAAGATCATCGAGGAAGAGAAGGAAAAGAAGAAGAAGAAGTTTAACATCCGAGGATCTATTCATCTATCTCCTCTTGGGCCGGAACCACGTGAGTGGGGAAAGGAACAGCCGTCCCCTGACGCGATAAGCGGAAAGATCAAGCAGCTCGAGAAAGTCTCTAAGGCATGACTTGACACTATTGGTGAGGGGATCGATTCTTATTGGATGATTAGCAAAGACATGAAAGGTAGGGTCGACGGTCTCTTCCATACCATAGAGGGTTGGGTGGTGGAGATATTTGGGATCAACCAAACTCGTAATTTCATAACACTCTAAATGTGGTTGTGCTCAACTTTCAAGTGATGTAGACTGTTAGATCCACATAGTTTGACAACTAAGATAGCTTGGAATTGACCAATTTTTGCTTTTGTGTAATTTATATAAAAATAGTATTTGTATCATCAAACTTGCAAGTTTAATCATCAGTGGAACTTAACGTAATAAGGTAAGGGCATCTACTTCTTTTAGTCATCCTTGAAACTCCACTAAAACACATTTGTATCACAAACTTCCATGCTTTATTCCCATTTATTTTTGTCAGCAAAAAAATTAAAAATTACTATTACAAGTTTCAATAGTACAGCCACAATAGAGCATAGTACCAACGCAAGTGAGACCTGGATTTGTAGGATCATTGCAAATAAATTCGTAGCAACAAGTTTTTTGTGCACAACTTCTGCATGGTGTGCACCGTCTTGAAACGGTTCTTTGAGGCAAATAGGTCCCTTGGACAATTGTCTTCCTGTCACGTACTGAGTTGTCAGTTGCGACACTTTCTGTTGCTCCTGTTCATCATGCACATCATATATTTATGTTAATTTGAAATATAATGATAAACGGCAGTGGCATCTCTTTTTATAGCATGAGAATCTAAATAAGAACTCATAAGTCCAACCAACAGAACTCCATTTTTTTACTCATTTTTGTGTGCAAGAATATATATACCCCGTTTTAGCGGATTGTCTAAGTACACAGCGACTTTTTCTAGATATATTCATGCTTAATAAATATAAAGTTAACATTTCTTAAGCAATAAATGGTAAGTGATTACCAAACTTTATGAACATTGAGCAACATGTAAATAACCATGGGTGTACAATGTTTGAACTTTGTCAGCCTGTATAATAATAGGTTTTGCTTGGCCTTTTAGGCTATTATTATTACTAATCTACCATAAAAGATGTTAAAACTCGAGATTTTTGTACCAGTAGCGGATATGTAGATGAGGGTACCTAGTACTTGCATAAGGCATATTTGAACCAAATATTCCACGCCTTATGTCTATATTGGGGTAGGATTGATATACGAATTTGGTAAAAGTCCACTTCTTTTTGTAGATCTATCACTCCACCAATATGATGTCTATACATACCTTGGGCTTGGAAGTGGACACTGAGAATAGAAAGGATGACAAGGGTGACAAACATATGTGAGTATGTCGCCATGGGTATCTAATAAGAGAGATCACTTCGGGGTTTGTTTTGTGCTCTGAATGGGTAGAAACATTGGACGGGTGAGGAAAATATATAGGCGGGTGTAGATGCATATCAAGGCATGCATTTATGATATTATTAATTTAATTAATTTGTTGGCATTAAATCCCTTCTTGAGATATTGCGTTCCTTCCTACTCGGTGCAGGATATTGCATTTTGGAGCAAGTATTCATTGCCCACATTTATATTCTCTGATCTTTCTCTGATACTAAGATAAACGTAACCAGAAAAAATTGGGAGCTATACATTTAATCTCGACAATGCAGTGGTTGGATGGTTAGGTCGACAGTGGTATCTAGGGTTGAAGTCCTGGTGCTCGCATTCATTCCTGGATTTATTTCAGGATTTTCGGCGATGCGTGTTTAGTGGGAGGAGACGTTCCCGTCGACTACAAGGCCCCTTTGTGACTTCGTCAATCTCAGAATGATATACCGGTTTAGTCTCTCGGAGGTGCTCATAGATATAGGGTGCGCGTGTTTATTCATAGGGATGAGTGTATACGTGTATATATGAGCATTTGCGTTTGTATTGTGTTAAAAACAATGCACTCTAAGAGGCTCTACCATTTTGTTTTATTTTTATGGTAGACTGTAGCATTTAGACTGGTAGGCAAGTTACCTGTCATATATTTTATGCACTAAGACCTTGAGATCTATGGGCTGACTATTTAATTATTAATGCAAATCATAAGAAAAGGTATGGAGCATGCTGGGAACCCTCAGGGGCATGATATGGTTAGAATGACTAGTGGACCCGTTGTGTCAAATGGCGCAGATGCGCGCTAGTACGTGATGAAAAATATATTCATGATTTAATCCCCTTTAATAGGAAACACGGCGGATTGTTATCTATAATGAGATGTATAATTTGTACTTGCTACCATGTTTGTAGAGGCCCATTTGAAATCATGTTCACATTGATCTCTACTCGTAAAGGAGGAGTTTGTGGTTGTGATGGTAGGTCTCGTATGTCTTCGTTTGTTCATCTCCACGTCGCTTCCTACGCCCCCCCCCCCCCTCGTTTTTTTCTGCCTCTTTGTGTCTATTTTTTCTTCTCAGAAACGAAAAGTCCTTCTCCTTTAACCCTATCTCAGCAGAGACAATGATCCCCACCGCGGGAGCTATTTCTCGCATTCAGCGAGCCTAAACACTTCTCTGGCTGAATCATTCCGACTAATCGAGCTGGCCTACTAGCGCACAGTAAATAAAAAAAACTATGAATTGAAGCATTCCAACTAATCGGGTCGGACCACTAGCGCACAGTACACATAAAAACTTTGAAGAAAATGGATTCGAACCGTGCTTGCTTCGATCAAGAGTAGAGGCCACTCTGAACTTAGTGTTCACATACGAGGTGCACTCTACTTGAGGTAAAACACCGGAGTTTGTTTTTATTTCTCTAGTTTTCCTCTCTTTTTTTGTTTCTTTGTTTGGTTTTCTTATTTTTCTCCGGTTTTCTTTCATTAGCCATTATAATTCGGTCCTTTTTTTTGTTTTTTCCATTGATTTTCTGTTTTCAATGCTTTTCTCCGTTTTCTTTTCTTTTTCCCTTTTTTTCTCTGGTTTTTGTTTTGTTTTCATTTTTTATTCTTTCTACATTTGTTTATTCAGTTCTTTTTAATTTGTGGGGGTTTAGTTTGTTTGTTTTTTGTTTTTGGTTTTTGGTTTTCTTTCGTTTCTTTTGTTTTTTATTCTACATTTTTTGTATGTCAAAAACATTTTTTAATAAGTGATCAACATTTTTGTTATACACGTTCAACATTGCCTGAACGTTTAATCAACATTTTTCAAATACTAGTTCAACATTTTAATACTTATTCAACACTTTTTAATACTCGTTCAACATTTTTTAATACTTACTCAATATTTTTTAATACTTATTCAACATTTTTCAAATACTGGTTTAACATTTTTCAAATACTCGTTCAAAACAATTTATACTTGTTCAACATTTTTCAATACTTTTTCAATATTCTCAAATACTTGTTCATCATTTTTCAAATTCTTGTTTAACATTTTCTTATATTTATTCAACATTTTCAAATGCAGGTTTAACATTTTTCATATACTCATTCAAAAAAATTAATACTTGTTCAACATTTTCTAATACTCGTTCAACATTTTTCAAATTCTTGTTCAACATTTTCTAATACTTATTCAACATTTTTCAAATACTTGTTCCACATTTTATAAAAAAAATCAACATTTTTCAATACTTGTTCAACATTTCTTAAATACATGATCAGCCTTTTTCATACACATTTGTATTTTACTGTATAACTTTTGTGCATAGATTAAAACGATTTTCATGTATGCACTCAAAATTTATTATCAAATGCTTAGTTAACATTTTTTAAATGTTTTTTACTTTAATTGACAGTTAGTTCATCATTTCTCAGTCTGTTGATACATCACGTCCTAGGTCGATGGTGCGATGGCTAGCATCAGGCGCTCCTCGCGAAGCGAGCAGGGTTCGAATCTAGTTCCTGTTTTCTCTTAGGCCAACTCCAGCGCGCGACCCCATCTTGTTCGGGTGCGTCTGTTCGGGGTAGAATGGATGAATAGCGCGGCCCTAAACGGTCAAATGTCTGGATTTCGTTCGTTTTCGACCCATTCCCGACCCAAACTGGCGCCGAGTTTGGGGTGAAACGGACATCACGCGGACGGGCTCGACGCACGCCCTTGACCCCCGTAGCCCGTCTGTCAGGGACACTAGCAGTCTCTTCGCTTCCAACGCCTCCACCAGCTCCCCCCCACCCTGCCGCCGGCGCCGCCACTATTCTTCAGCCGCCTCCTCACTGCTCACCCCTCCCACCGTCCATACCAAACCACGTCTCGACATGACCGCCATCAAACCAGTACAACAAAGGATACTACCTAGCTGATGGTATATATCCTCAGTGGTCAACTTTTGTGAAGACAATCTCAAACCCCCAAGGTGAGAAGAGAAAGAGATTTGCCTAAATGCAAGAGAGTGCTAGAAAGGATGTGGAACGTGATTTTGGTGTGCTTCAATCCCGATGGGGTATCGTTCAAAACACTGCACTGACATGGGATGAAGGGAAACTTTGGGAGGTGATGACTGCTTGTGTGATCATGCACACCATGATCGTCGAGGACGAGCATGATGACAGGATCTTCGACCAAGTATTTGATTTTCAAGATGAAAATGTTGAGCCCCTGCACCAAGAACCGGCCACATTTGAACAGTTTGTCCATTTTCATCTTGAAATGCGTGATTAGCACACTCATTTGGATCTTCAAAATGACTTGGTTGAGCATGCGTGGACTCACGTTGGCAACGAATAGATGTATTGATTCATTATGTTCATTCAAGACAATTTTATTTGGTTGTAAAATATTTTATTAGAGACAATTTCGATTGTGTTGTAAAACTATTTTTATTTTCAGACAATTAATATTTGGACATGCAAACTTGTTTTGAACATTGAAATATGAATATATGGGCATTTTTGGCTGTGGCGGACAAGATGGGGCCGAAGGATGCGTCCGCGCGCTGGGCGCACGGCCACCGCATCCCAGGACAGACCCGGGCACGACCCCATTGCCCTACCCAAACGGACAGAATCCGGGCAAAATGGATGTCCGTTTGGGTCGTGCGCTGGAGTTGGCCTTATACAACTCATTGCTTTTAATTTCCTATTGATAATTTAGATGGTTCATATTTTTAAAACCAAAAATTAAATTTTGAAACTTTTTATATATTTGAACTCATGATTTCAAGATCTTTAGAACAAGCTTAATTTTGGATATTTTTTAACATGTTCGAATCCATTTATTTCACACAATATGTTTCAATTATTTCAGAAGAACTATTTATTTCAATTATTTTGAACCACTAATTTCCATTGATTTTCTGAAATACAATTTCAATCATTTCACTCGTTGTAAAACGCCTATTTCACACATTAGAAACATATATTTTCAGTTGTTCCAAAAGAATTGGCTCCCTAACTTCTGAAAACCGATTTCACTCATTTCGAAAAGTTCATTTCTTTATGTTCAGAAAATCAATTTCACTCATTAGAAGAAACTGATTTCACTCATTTTACAAACATGTTTAACCTAGTCAAAACACTGGTTTCACTCATTCCAAAAAATATATTTAAATCGTTTCAAAACGGTTGATTGCACTAAATTAAAAAAAACATTTCACTCAGCTTAATGAGAATGATTTCACTCATTTCAAAAATTGATTTTAATCATTTTAACAAACATGTTTCACTCATTCAAAACACTGGTTTCACTCATTCCAAAATATATATATAAATAATTTAATACGGTTGATTCACTAAATTGGAAAAAAATATTTCACTTAGCCTAATAGAATGATTTCTATTATTTAAAAAAAGATTTCACTCATTTCAAAAAGTGATTTCACTCATTTTAACAAACATGTTTCACTCATTCAAAACACTGGTTTTACTCATTCCAAAAAGTATGTTTCATTGTGTTCAAAAAACAGATTCCGCTCATTCGAAAAACTTGTTTCACTCGTTTCAAAAGTTGGATATAACTTATTTAAAAATGGTAGATTTCAGTAATTCGAAAAAATGATTTCACTCAATTTAACAGACATCACTACTGGAATCAGAAGATTTGTCGTCTGTCCCCTCTTTGCCGTCACCTAGCGGACGACAAAGAACGGCTTTGCCATCAGCCACCGGAAAGCAGACGGCCAAGGAAGGCTTTGCCATCAGCCAACATTTTGCCGTCCGCTAGCTAACAGCAAAGATTCTTTGTCGTCCGGTAGCTGACGGCAAAGAGGGTGTTTGGCCCACTGGATGTTAAGCCCTAACAGGCCCCCTCTTTGCCGTCCACCAGCAGATGACAGAGCGTCCATTGCCCTTAGCTTGCAGACGGCAAAGACGACATGGATCCGGTGTGCCAGGTGTCTTCCAGTTATTCGCCTTCGTTGCCATGTCATTTGC